CACTGTCCTTTTGCCTTGAATAGTTATGGTGTCTCTTTAAGGTGGACCTGGTAACAATAGGATTAGTAGTATATGGCTCAAGAATTTCAGAAACATACACTGCCTGGTCAAAAAAAGTCACCATCTGGATTTAGCTAAGCAAATAGGTGAGAACCTTCCACTGGATAATTAGTCTAGGTTCAGCAATGTTATGTCCCCATAAAATGAGGTCAGCTGCTTACCTGTATTATCTGAATGGCTAGGTTTTTCTATCAATGGATTTTTCCTCCCTGATGGCAGGAAATATTCCAAGATGACAATGCCAGGTTTCATTGGGCTCAAATTGTGAAAGAGTGGTCCAGGGAGCATGAGGCATAATTTTCACACATGGATTGGCCACCACAGAGTCCAAACCTTAACCCCATTGAGAGTCTTTGGCATGTGCTGGAGAAGACTTTACGCCGTGAATCATCACTACAAGATCTTGGTGAATTATTAATGCAGCTCTGGATGGCAATACATGTTGTGGCATGCCACGGCGAATGTGTGCCATAATCAAAGATAAAGGCAGTCCAACTATATATTAGAATGTGTGACTTTATTTTTTTGGCACATATGTATTGTGACATTATCATTAGGATTGTCGTAGTACTAGGTTTAGGTTAGCTTGCGTTTAAAGGACAACCGCACTTTTGTTTTAAAAATCAATTTTGTAATGAGCCTGCACAATTACTAAACCAGTAACAAATATAAGATTTGGCCATGGTCAAATCTCCTGTGGAGGAACCTGTGCACAGGAAGCACTCTCCTATGCTCTACTAGTCTCTGTGTTCAATGTACTTCCTTCCCTCTTCCCCTCTGTTCATCCTGGCCACTTGTTAGCTAATTGGTGGACATGCTGAGAAGATTTAGCAGCATTCGCATGATCACCATTCTTCAAGATTTTGCTTGTGTTTGAGTTTCAACAAAAAACGCTTCCCCTCTGTTCATCCCATTCACCTGTTAGCTGATGGGTTGGCTGAGCTTCCTCCGATGCATTGAATGCTGGATCTTTTAGAGCACAGGATAGTACTATCTGTGTACTTGTTCCTTTACAAGACCCATCACTGGAAGGTACCAATGGACTGATAGTGAAAACTACTTGTAAAGGGGGTTTGCATAGACAGAATGGTGTCTCCTGGTGACTAGAGTTGTTAAGCCAGTTCTCCAGTCCTGGGACAGTACCCACAGGATTTCTCATGTCCCACCGGTTCTCATATTAGCTTTTACTTCTTTTGTCATGTCCTAGGCCTTAGCAGGAGTACTCTTACACTTTTATTCTCAAGGCCTCAGCATCCATGTGGTTCCAGGTTCAAGCAGCGAAGGCAGCTACTATTCCAGAGGCCTGTGTGACACAGGAGTACAGGAGGCGCATCCAAGGAAAACTACGGACCACCTCTATAGATCAGCCCTCCTGCCCAAAACCACCACCACTCCTGTACAAAACTGGATACTAACACACATTCCCCAGGAAATGGCTGTATATAACATATTTTATGGCTCTGTCAGTCCCGCAGATTGTATATCTTCTTCTACTAGATTGGCTGTCTGCAGCAATTTCCACCTCCTTCAAATGCTTAGGGCTTACACGGAGCGCACATTACATGGAGGCTTGTTCTTAAACATTTTACTTTGTGAACAGCAGCAGTCCACATTATTGTATATTGTGGCCTTTTTTCCCCAACAGGTATTTGGTTCAATTGTCCTTTCAAGAGGGTAACGTTTTGCACTTACAATAATGCCATTCAGAGGAGGATTATTGTGGTGCTCATTTGTGTAGAAAACATCTTGATTATTCTTGACTGTGTCCTGAGATCAGGTCTGAGGACTAGGGTCTCACATTGCAGGCTACATTCTAACAGGTCTAACAGGCCTCCCACAAAAGAGAAAGCCTCTGTGCACACTTATTCTTACATACTTCTCAGACCTCTCTATTGTAGCCCTTCCCGCCCTAGAATTTGTAGTTATGACTCACTGTTGCCACCTAGGGGACATTTTAAATACTACGCTTTCTTACCTACACATGTGTGAAAAATTTTGTTTTTGGATTAAATCAATTTATTTGCATCCAAAACCATCTATTCCATTTTTATTTAGCCATAACCCACCACATTAGAATATTATTCCCTAACTAACCCAAAACCAGTGTTCACCAAGTACCTCCTGGTTCCTGGTATTGGCCACCTTAAATTAAGTTCCTTTAGTCATGTGTATATTTATTGCCTCTAAATTGGATGTAGCTGGACTACCCTCAGACATTTGTGTTTATTACCTAAATATGTATACATTTTCTCCATACAGTCCTTTATCTTTAATTTCTTAGATGGAAATTGTGTTGGTTATGTGTTTAGATGAAGCACTGAGATCTTGAAGAATGCTGAATTATGTTTTACTTGCTTAGAAGAATATTACATCTGAATACAGCATTGTGAGGAAAAACATATAGATAGAAAAAACAGCTTCTGTGTACCATAGATAAGGATGCATATAGAGGCAATTAGTACATTGGAATATGCGGTTGGATTTCCAACACCCCTTCTCAACAGCATATGCGTTGCTATATGACATTTAGCTTAGAAACTGTGATGATCCTTTGGCAATGGCTTGGTGAGTGCATCCACAGTCATTTCTTCTGATGAGCAATAATGCATGTCAATAATAGCTTGCTCTTGAGTGTCCCTAAGCAGATGATACTTCATGTTGATGTGCTTGGTTCTAGGGTTGACCCTTTCTGATTGTTTCAGATTTATACATCACTATTTTTAAAGATTGGGATGGGATTTGACATGTCTACGCCCATGTCCATTATAAGCTAGCGAATCCATATTGCTTCTTGACAAGCGTGTGCTGCTACTATCTATGTATTCAGCTTCATTTGAAGAAAGTGCAACAGTTTGCTTTCGGCTAGACCAACTTATGGTTCCTTCCCCCCATATTGGAAGATGTAACCACTTGTGTTTTTACGGTCTCCGGCCCAATCAGCATCTGCATATCCAGCTAGTCTTGGATTTGACGCTGCTGGCAGTTGTAGCCTAATCTGAATTGTTCCTTTTAAGTATTGTATTACCTTTACTGCGTTCCAATCACACTGCAGGTGCTGCAACTTTTCTAGCAAGGATGCCTACTGCTGCCGCTATGTCTGGTCTTGTCAGCTTTTCGATTGCTCTGTGGTACGTGTCATTGTTGGGTAGCAAGTTTTCTGCTTCTTTGCTCTTTTAGTAGCCTGGTTCCATAGGTGTTTTTACTGCCTCTGCATTTTGCATGTGGAATTGTTCCAAAATGTTTGCAATTTTCTGGCTTTGGTTAAGAATATAGCTTCCATCTTCCCTCTCTATCTGAATTCCCAGATAGTGACTGTTCCTTAGCTCTTGAATTTCAAAGTTTTGTTTTAGCTTGTTAACAATATGACTACAGTCCCCTTCTTGTTCAAAACAGGTTATAATGTCATCAACATAAATTAGAATGTATCTCCACCTGTCTTCTTGATTCCTGGAATAAACACAGGGATCTGCTTTGCTTCTTGTGAAGTATCTTTCGTGAGTATTTCATTCACTTTCTAATTCCACATTCTTGCAGATTGCTAGTCTGTAGATGCTCTTTTGAAGTTTACACACAAGGTTGTGTCCTTGCTCAAACCCTGGTGGTTGTTCCATGTAGAGGTCTTCCATAAAGACTCCATATGGGAAAGTGGTTTTAACGTCTAGGTATTTCACTTGCATGCCCTTCCCGGCTGCGAAGCTAAGGAGTGTTCTGATGGCGGAGTGTTTTACGACGGAAGGGAATGTTTTATCGTAGTCTTCTCCACATTTCTGGGAGTATCCCTTGGCAACTAATCCGGCCTTGTATTTGTGGATATTTCCTTCTGCATCGAGCTTCATCTTAAAAGTCAATTTGCTTCCTATAGTTCTGCGATTAGGAGGAAGCTCCGTGAATGACCAGGTTTTATTTTCTTGGAGTGATTTTATTTCTTCCTCTGCTGCCTATCTTCATTTATTGGCTTTTTATATGTCTTGCCATGATGTTGGTTTGATTATGCTATATGTCTTTGCAGTATATGACAGCCTGCGGGGTGGTATTCCGTTTGTTGCCTGAGTGGATCTTCTAATTTTAGGTTGTTCAGCAGAATTTAAAGTGACATTAAAGGCTAATTTTTTTCCCTCCCCCAATGTTAGTGTAAGGACTTACCTTAAATGATGCCTCTTAATCCGATCATCTTCTTCTTTAGTGTAGTTTTCAGATGTCCCTCCAGCGCTAGTGCGGGTCTCCAATGCAGCGCTGACTCCTCTGTCCTCCTCTTCTCTCATGTCCCACGGAGTCTGTGCTGTTGCACGCTGCTCCATATACTTACATTGTGTCTCTCCTCGTCTCCCGGCTGAACATTGGAACTGCGCATGCGCCCGCCCCAAGATCCTTTGTGGCCGCCCGAAAAAATTTCAGATGTTCGGACGAGAGCGTGCGGCAGAGACACATTAACCCTTTGAAAAAGTATTTGTTTTTTTTAATCGTTTTGCATATACAGTATCTACTGTTTGCTAGCAGTAGATATATGCAAAAAAATGCAATGGTTTAATTACCCTTTAACATGGTATTTGACTTATGCAATGTTAGTTCCACCTCTTGTTCTGATTCCTGTGCGGCTTCACTTTGCTCAGCTTCCTCTGCTGGTTCACTGGGCAAATTCACTTCACAACTTCCTTGGATCATTGTTTCTGATGATGGGTTCTCATCGAAATAAACGCTGTGGCTTGTTGTCACTATGTCAGTATTTGGGTGGAGGATTCTATATCCCTTACTTTGTTCACTATAGCCCACCAGAATACCTTCTATGGCTGTGTTCTCCAATTTGGATTGCTTCTAATTGGGAATATATGCGTAAGCTTTACATCTAAACACTCTGATGTACCTTAGGCTAGGCCTCGATCCATGCCACATTTCAAATGGGGTGCTTTTAATGGCTTTTGATGGTAGTTTGTTCTGTATAGGGGCGGACTGGGCCAGGGGGCAGGGTGCCCCCCGGACCTCTCTGATGCCTTTGCAGATGACCCCCGCCGCTGCAAACACTTCTTCTCTCCCATCTCGGCCGCAGCAGCAGAGGGGAGAGATGAAGTGCTTGCGGCGGCGGAGAGAAGCGAAGAAGCAGCTCGGCTGCTTTTGACAGTGTCCGCTTTAACGATCGGGCTCCTCGGCGGCCACAGCAGTTTCCCCCGCCCACCTCCGCTGCCATTGGTGGGAGAGGGAGACTGCAGAGCTACAATTGGCCGACTGTTTAGTTCGGCTGAGCGGGACATAGAGAGCGGGCACCACAACCCGAACGGGCAGGCAACCTCGCTACTCCCCCCACCATCCCCAAGAGAAGAGCACCTGAATCAAGAAATCTCTGTAAGTCCCTGTACTGTCTGTGTGACATCTGACCTCTACATTACGCACTGACCTCTACTGTGCATCACCCCTGACCTCCGCACTGTGCGTCACCCCCTGACCTCCGCACTGTGCGTCACCCCCTGACCTCCGCACTGTGCGTCACCCCCTGACCTCCGCACTGTGCGTCACCCCCTGACCTCCGTACTGTGCGTCACCCCCTGACCTCCGCACTGTGCGTCACCCCCTGACCTCCTCACTGTGCGTCACCCCCTGTCTTCTGCACTGTGCGTCACACCCTGACTTCGGCACTGTGCGTCACACCCTGACCTCCGTACAGTGCGTCACACCCTGACCTCCGCACTGTGCGTCACACCCTGACCTCCGCACTGTGCGTCACACCCTGACCTCCGCACTGTGCGTCACACCCTGACCTCCGCACTGTGCGTCACACCCTGACCTCCGCACTGTGCGTCACACCCTGACCTCCGCACTGTGCGTCACACCCTGACCTCCGCACTGTGCGTCACACCCTGACCTCCGCACTGTGCGTCACACCCTGACCTCCGCACTGTGCGTCACACCCTGACCTCCGCACTGTGCGTCACACCCTGACCTCCGCACTGTGGGTCACACCCTGACCTCTGCACTGCATACTGACCTCTGCACTGTGCGTCACACTCTGACCTCAGTACTGTGCATCACACCCTGACCTCTGTACTCTGCGTCACACCTTGACCTCTATACTCTGCGTCACACCCTGACCTCTGTACTCTGCGTCACACCCTGACCTCTGTACTCTGCGTCACACCCTGACCTCTGTACTGCCTGCAGCTCCAGAGCTCACCTGCGGGTGCTTCCCAGCTGCCAGTACTTAGCCATCACCTGGTGCTTCCTGGGAGGATATTTAAACCCTCCCTGCAGTCAGGATGATGGCTCAGTATTGTGTCCTGTGAATCCTGAGTCCCCAGTTCTGTCGCCATTTCCGGTGAACCCTGCTTTCCGTCCAGAGTCCTGTTACCAGTCCTGAACCCTGTTTGTGTCCCAAGCCCGGTTACCCATTTGCAGTCCTAGATACCTCCTGTTGCCATTACCTGCCTTTCCTCATGTTGCCATTACCTGCTTCTCCTCATGTTGCCATTACCTGCTTGTTGTCTTGTTGATGTTACTTATTTATGTTTGCTTTTGGGTGTTTAGTGTTGCTGTTTATTAAACCGTATATAATACATTCTGCCCTGTCCGGTGTGGTCATAAGTGTCTGCCTGTGTGGGTACCTGCGCAGGTGTGGGATCACCTGTGCCGGTATCCCTGACACATTCACTTGTTCATGCATTTCCTGGCCTTTTTCTAGCCTCATCTCATATAGCTTGCGTATCAGACATAGTTTACTGTTTAGGTTTGAACGCTCATGTAGTTTTTGTAATACAGTCCATATACCTTTAGCTGTATTCTCTTTTGTTATGTAGATGAGCTTATAATTGGTTTTGTTTGCCTGTTCTTCTTGTCCCATTCCCCTGTGGATCCATTACTGGGTATGTCTGTACTCAGTACTTGCCACAAGTCATCTTTGCTTAGCAGCATTTCATGCTTAAACTTCCATAGCTGGTAGTTGATAATGTTGAGCTTTGCATTTGCAAACTTCATATGTGAACTGCTTGCCATCTTTCAGTAGCTTGGATACGGCTCTTGTTGACTTGCAGTGTTCTGCTTAGTGCCTGGGCCCATAACATGTTGGTTATGTGTTTTAGAAGAAGCACTGAAATCTTGAGGAATGCTGAATTACGTCTTACTTGTTTAGAAAAATATTATATCTGAATACAGCATTGTGAGGAAAAACATACAGATAGAAAAAACTGCTTCCCGTGTATCATAGCATACATATAGAGACTAACATTGCACTACTCTGCCCGAATCTGAATATTTTAACAATTCTACAGGCTTATTTAATACATATTTATATTTGCCCCTTAACAGTATTTAAAGTGACCCTGTGCTCAGTGGTGTATTTAGGTTTTGTGCTGCCCTAGGCAAGCTTAGACTTGGGCGCCCCCCCCCCATCTAAATTTGCCCCAACCCTACCTGTTTAAAACGCGTGGTAAAACATTTCCTGCGTTCCATTGCACTGCAAACGCAAAAAATAGAGCATGCAGCATTTTTTGCATTTGCAGTGGAAAGGAACGCAGGAAGTTTTGTGCCATGCGTCTGAACGCACTGTGGTGGGAGGGAGCATGGCTGCAGTTACATTGACTTCAATGCATTGCCACGCCCCCTCCTGCCCCAGAACGCAGGGGGAAGTTTGTGAGCAATTGCGGTGCATTCCAGCAGCTCCCGCTCTGGAACGCAACGCAATTGGTGTGAACAAGTCCTCAGGGGGAAAAGTATCCACATACTGACCAGCACTGTCTGCCTCCATTCCTCTCTAAAAAGGAAGAGGCCATATCACATTTCCCATACACAGACATCCCAACTCTCCCGGACGCTCCGGGAGTCTCCCGCAATTAGATAGCGTCAGTCGTCAGTCAGAAAAGAAAAAAAAGGCATACGAATGCATAGCTAGATTCCTATTGGCTATTGCACTTTGCAATAGCCAATAGCAAACTAGGTAATGCACCCGCCCACTACTGCTGTCAATCAGCAGAGGGGACCTGAATTTTTCTATCAGGTCCTCTTCTGGTGATTGAACTGTGCTCTATTTTTTTAAGTAAAAGTATTGCCTAGGAGCAGACACCAAGTTGGCTGCTATTCATGTTCTTACCCAGAAATGCAGCATTTGTGCACCTGGGGCCTCTGACTTACTGGGGCCTCTGACTTCATGTCTAACCCCTGCCATTCCAGTGTCCAAAGAGAGTGTCAATTAAAGGGGGGAGTAGGGAAATGGTGGAGCTAAACTATCAAGTCAGGGAAGGTAATAAAGTAAAAATGAATCAGAAACGGGCTCAGAAGAGACATTGCTGACTAATAAATCTAACTTCGTGCATCCTGTGATATTTCTGTTATCCAGAAAGTTTACTTTTCACAGGTTGACTTGACCTTTATTTGCTTTGCCTGAGGTTGACTCTCAAACTCTAGAATGAGTGGCTACAGGTTACCTGAAGTTGTCAAGGATCGGGGCTCACAGGTATGAATTGGAGTCAGGTATGTGGACCCTTTCTACTACACTGGCAGGGACGCTTAGAGAAATCTGGATACACAGTAGTGTAACCAGGGATAGTGACAGATTCCTAACTTCATGTAATCCTTTCACATATGATGCGGTGTGCAGGCGTGTACATGCAGCAGCTGTCACCCGATCATTAATTTGAATGGGTGGCAGTTGCCGCCTGTAACATATGCATACATTAATATTGTATTGTTGTGCTTTGTAGTCCTCTATAGCTGGTGGTATTTTGCATTACTGTATAAGGTATTGCTGGGATTTGTAGTCCTCTATAGCTGGTGGTATTATTCTGCATTACTGTATAATGTATTGCTGCGGTTTGTAGTACTCTATCGCTGTGTAACATAGGTGATTATTTACACAGCCCTTGTGTTTGCTGAAATTGCTTTAAACTATAACGAAAAGCTTTTGAGAGTTTTCCTCTCTTTCTCAAGTCTGAAACAATACCTGAGGAAGAAAGAAAAACTCTTGAAAGCGTGTCTTTTGTATTAGGTTAGTACAATAAAAAGGTATCACCGCATACCGCATTACTCTCGTATTTTGTAATCCCATATATACGTATACTGCTTTCGTTTTTTTCAGTGGTATGATTTAGTGGTGAAAATTATTAGTGCCCCCCGTTTTGACTGTGGTATTTTATGTGCCCCCCCTATATATTGTTCCTAGAGTCGCCACTGTGACTCACCTAACAGCCAATAATGGTTGACAAGGCCAGAGTTCTGGACAGGTTGCAAACACACCTCTAAACAGGCATATTAGACAGCCGATTCCTCCTCGCTAGGACCCGGAGAGGCCCCAGCGAGTGGCCATCTAATATGCCTGTTTAGGGATTGCCACTGCCTGATTGTAACCTTCCCGGATCGCATACCGAGGTGATCCGGGACGGGCGGATCTATTGAGCAGCAGCTGCCCTCCAGGAGAGCCACACAGACACACAGCCCCCCTGAGAGCCACACTTCCCTCCCACTGAGAGTCTGTACAGCCCCTCCCTGAAAGTCTATACAGTATAGTCTGTACTACAGCCCACCATGAAAGCCGCACAGCCCCCCTGAGAGCCCGCAGAGCCCATCTGACAACAGCACAGTACCTCTGGGATCCTTCACAGCTCACCTGAGAGTCAACACAGCCCTCCAGAGACCCTGGAGATATCAGACTGCCACCCCGGAGCAAACACAGAGTATGCAGCCTTATATTATTTTGCATTGCTGTTAAATGTATTGCTGGGATTTGTAGTCCTCTATAGCTGATGGTCTTATTCTTCATTGCTGTAATGTATTGCTGGGATATGTAGCCCTCTATAGTTGACGGTATTCTGCATTGTAATATAATATATTGCTGAGATTAGTTCCTTTACAGGTTGGAGTCAGTGGCAGAACTACCAGGGTCACAGCTGTACTGGCAAACTAAGGGAACAAAGGACCCTGGTGCAAGATGCAAACCCCCCCAACCCACATCCCCTGTAGCAACCACCAAACAAAAGAGTTGGAAAATGGCAATGCTGTATAAAGTACTGCTGAGATTTGTAGTCCTCTATAGAGGGTGCCATTCTGCATTGCTGCAATGCAGAATGGGACCTGCTATATAGCACTACAAATACCAGCAGTACTTTATACAGCATGTCCATCAGTTGGGCTACAAAAAATAATTATTTTATTTAATAACACACCTTAACTTCTTCTGGCTGTTTTCTGGTGGGGGAGGCTGCAGAAAACCACCCCAGTGTGTGTGTGTCAGTCTCAGATAGCGCGCCCGTGTACTCTGGCGGCTGCTTGCAGGGTCCTCCCGGCCGAGGCCCAGGGCTGCCCCTGAAGTGCCTGCCGGCTTTTTTAAATTCTCGGCTCCCTCCACAGTATCCGGCAGCTGGCGGGCCCCTTTCGTCCGACACTCCCGGCGCATGAGGGGGGCCGCCGGCTGCCGGATACCAATGTGATCATCGGACACTCCCGATGTGATCATCGTACACAGGGACAGAACTACCGCCGGTGCGGCTGCATTGGGGCCTCAGCCTACAGGGGGCCCCAGTATCCCTTCCAACACAGCCCCAGGGCAGAGATGGGGGGGTCCGCCGGATACTGCTCCGATGGTATCCGGCGGCCGGACTCCAGCGGGCCCCCCATCTCTGCCCTGGGGTTGTGTTGGAATGGATACTGGGCCCCACTGTAGGCTGAGGCCCGGGTGCGGCTGCACCGGCGGTAGGTCCGCCCATGTGTACTGGGCCCTGGTGCTCCACCACTGACTCCAAGCTGTAGAGAGACTGTTCCCTTGCACTGTGCTGCGTAACATGTACCTTAGTAGCACACTGCAATGGAACACTGCACTCATTAGCACAGTACAAAGGTACATGTCACTCTGTAGTGTAGTTAAAACCTCTTGTATTGTATTTTTCTTCTAAGATTTAAGCACATAATTAGCTCAGACAGTTGTATGAAGTGTTTTTCTAAAATAAATCATCAGTATTCAGGTCTAAGTGCAGGGTTGGCACTGAGACACTTAAGTTGGTTTAGTGATCCAGTTTGGGCACTCGGGCTCAGAAAGGTTTGCCATCACTGCTGTAGTGCATCCTTGTATTCTAACCAGTGAGAGGCATGACAGGTAATTGGATGCACCTATGGGTAAAAAAATAAACTGCTTTGGTGAAAACATTAAAAATATATCTTTTAATGCAGACCAGAAAATACTTCAGCGGAGTGTTCACCACCTTCAAGCAGGTAAGCGATAGATGTGCATAGGTGTCTCCTGTTACCTACTCCTAAAATCTCCATAAATACCCTTAGGCCATATGCACAAAGTTGCATGAGTGCTGTACACCTAAAAAGTTAGGCGAATTTCCCCAATCGTAATAGACACCAATAACGTTTATGGTGCGTATAACCAGTACATTTGTAAACTCACGCAAGCGTATGAAAGTGTTCCCCAAACACAGGAAGTAATTAATTTGTACATGTTTAGCGCACCCCCTAAGGGGCCGCAGAGAATAGTAGAACCATCCATAAATCGCCATGTCTAGGGGTATCCAGATTCAAACTACCCATTAGCACTTTCCACCCTCTATGGTGACTGATAGAAGTGAGGTCCAGACTGTAGATATGATGCTGAGGAACTTTATTGATGAACTTCAGGGAGAGAGGTTGAGGGTCAGGATCATCCAGGCTGGTGTAAACTCCTTTAAGTGGTGGTAGGATAGGGTAACTGCAGCCATCGCAGACTTGGACCTTTAAGCAAGACGTGGCAGTCTGTGTCAAGAGCACCTGGCAAAGCAGCACTTGAATCAGGAATCATTAGCTATCCTCATGCTTGGCATCAGTAGAAACTACTGGACCCCGGATTCAGTGCTCAGTGCAAGCACATGACTAGTCCCCAGGCTTTAGGCTTAGCCAAATCAGGCAGTCTATAGCAGCGCCCCCCAAGCAGGGCCTGGGAGGAAAACGTGTGATGTCCTTTCATACAACTACTAATCTGTGGCTAAAATGCAATACGTTTGTGCATCTCACACAATAGTAGTGCCACTCATTAAAGTGCTCCATGCTGCTGTGTAAAACAATCCACCCTTTGTGATGAAATCAAAAGGAAGGGTCTGTACTCACGAGATTTTAATGACCTCTTATAAAGGTTATATAACCTTGATTGCGATCTCTGTTTCTCAGCTTCGCTTCTGATTAGGGATGGGCTCAATGTTCGAGTCAACTTGAACATTGCCAGTTCCTGTGTTTGGCGAACACAAGAACTATCACGGTGTTCGGCGGGCGCGTTTCGTCATCCAGACTTCGTAGATCTACACCGTCCAGACAAAGTCTTGATGACAAAACCCGTTGATAGGCGGGCACTTGCTGAAGTAATCATGTCTTAAGAGCTGTAAAGAGCTGAACGAAGACGTGTGTTATTGAATGCGATTGCCTTTTTTTATCTTGTGAGTAGTTTAATTTATTGTAATAAAGCATGTTTTTTTTAAAATCTACTAAACTATGAGCATCTCATTTGTCCCCCTCCTGAGTGGATATGGAGATAAATAGAGCATTTTGGAAATCCTTGCAGGTTAAAATGGCAGTCATCTCAACTCTCCTGTACGTTCCGGAAGACTCTCGCTATAAGATAGCGGCTCCCGGACACCCGGGAGAGAAACATTTTTCCCCAGAAAGGTTTACTCTGCTCTATCTAGCAGAGTAAACCTTTCCCTGCTATGTTTTTTTTTTTACATTAGGGCCGCCGGATGCCGTCAGTCAGAGAAGAATACATTTTTTCAAAAAAACGGCATAGGAATGAATAGCCAGATTGCTATTGGCTATTTCAATTTGCAATAGCCAATAGCATAGTTACATAGTATTTGAGGTTGAATAAAGACATAAGTCCATCAAGTCCAACCCATTGTATGTGTGTGTGGGTGTGTGTGTGTGTGTGTGTGTATAGGTCAATGAGTGTTCTCATTGACCTATAGCGAACTAGCTATTGCACCCACCCACTGCTGCTGTCAAATCAGCAGAGGTGGACCTGAAGTTTTCCATTAATCAGCTGACGGCGGGTGCAATAGCCAACTTGCTATTGGTTATTACAAATTGAAAAAGCCAATAGCAATCTAGCTATTCATTCGTATGATGTTTTTTTTTTATTGTGATGGCAGTGGTGTCGGAATACTAAAAAAAACCAGGAGATAGCAAAGGGAAGCATTAGCTTCTTTGCTAACTGCCATCATTTCAGGGGGGGGGTGCTCGATGTCCGCCCTTGGGGGACAGAGGGTCCGGGGTTGGGGACAGAGGGCACCTCTCCCTGAAATTACTTTTTTTCAGGTTGGGATGCCTGATATGTAGTCTTGGAATAGTACGGTATTTGGGAAGGAGAGTTTTTTGATATGGCAAAGTTATTTAAGAGACCTGTTTATAAAAATATTGGCATAGCTTTTCGTCCATGGAAACTGCATGTGCATTTGTTCTGTGCGAATAAACCAGCAAGTGTTGGAATGAATATTAACATTAGTATGTGATTTAATGATTAATTGTTTTGTAACCATAGCAATACTAGTGGTGATATGTTGTAAGAATGATACAATTTAATACACAATATAAATGCAAAAAAAATAAATGGGGGAGCTGACAGCCATATGAAAACTGAGTCAATATCTAAAAAAAGCAGTGCTGAGGTCACGTTGTTGGAGAAGCTGCCAAAAAAAGTCACCACCTGGATTTAGCTAAGAAAATAAGAGCCTTCCATTGGATATTTACTAGAGTGATTAATATATTTATCTGGCAACAAGTTATTTAACCCTAACTGATGCAGTATGTAGCTTCCCAATCCTTAAACATGTCAGAAGACATATCCTGTGGTCGTGGAAAAGATGTAATTCTGTTTCAGTAGGGTCAAATTATTGGCTTGCATCAAACAAAAAAAACAATTTAGGAGATTGCTGAAACTACTAAAATTGGGTTAAAAACTGTCCAACGCATTAATAAAACCTGGAAGGATATGTTCGGGAACCAAGAAACCAGACAGAAACTTCAAAAAATAAAAGGAGTTTTTTTGAAACAACAATAAACATAAATGGCAAAAAACAATGGAGAAAGTCCAGGACATTGTCAGTTGCCAAAGCGGGTAGTCAGCACAAACAGGTCAGGGAACACAGAGCAGGATGAATGGAAACAATTGCTGGAGTCAGCCAGAGCTAGGGTCATACACGGAGAATAGGAACAACTGCAGAGCACTTGGTTGATCAGAACTCACGCAAGGAGGGAGACTGAATGGACAAGCTGATGATTAAATAGTGAACCGGTGCTGCATCATCACTCTGAGACAGGAATTTGTCATAGTTATAGAATGATGATGTTAACTGGTTTGGTCATAAGAGGGCGTCAAAGAGGAACAGTGTCAAACACACTGCAAACAAGCCATGCTGCAAGCAACTGTACAAGGAAGGGTAAGAAACCCTGACAGGTTAGTGGTGAATCTTCGAGGAAGAAATGAGGTTGGAAACATTTTTTGAATGATTGAGATCAGAGATCACTTAAACATTTGGTGAAATCAAATGGTACAAAATCAACAGTAGAACTATGTTCAGTTGTGAAAGTAAAAGCATTTCCACATGCACAATGCAAAGAGAACTCAGGGGTTCGGGACCAAGCAAAAAAAACACTCATCACCAATCACACCTAGTACCAACTGTACAAGCCCGTGGGGGCAGTGATCTGGGGTTGCTTCAGTTGGTCAGGTCTAGGTTCAGCAATGTTATGTAAGCCCAAAAAAAGGTCAGCTGCCTACCTGAATATACTGAATGACCAGGTTTTTTCATCAATGGATTTTTTTCTTCCCTGATAGCACGGGCATATTCCAAGATGACAATGTCAGGATTCATCAGGCTCAAATTGAGAAAGAGGGGTCCAGGGAGCATGAGACATAATTTTCACACATGGATTGGCCACCACAGAGTCCAGACCTTATCCACATTGAGAATCCTTGGGATGTGCTGGAGAAGACTTTACACAGTGGTCCAACTCTCCCATCATCACTACAAGATCTTGGTGAAAAACGAATGCCACTCTGGACGTAAATAAATGTTGTGACATTGCATAAGCTTATCGAAACAATGCCACGGTGAATGAGTGCCATAATCAAAGCTAAAGCTGGCACAACAAAATATTAGAGTGTGTGACTTTTTTTTGACAGCCAGTGTATTTGCACTTTTTGCTAGCACCATCTCTTTTGGAGATCATATCCATTCATCTTATCTGCAAAACAGTACAAGTATTGTGAATCAATCTGTATTCCATTGTCCAAAAACAAAAAGGCAGGGATGACAGTGAACATCTACTCTTCATACAGCAATGACATAAGTGATATATGAAGGATAGCGTGTACATTCTCTAAACAATCTCCTCTGTTCTATGCTACAGCAGGAAAGAGGACGATCTGCATGATGTGCGTCAACAAAAGCTGGAGTTACAGGTAAAACAATTTGATTATTTTTTTTAATAGTGTAACTACATGTGACAGTACAAGATGGCAAAACCATTATAGGCCCCTTTGTTCTCAAATAACCATTATAAACATATCTATCACCTATTAGAAATTCTTATATAACAACTTAACCCCTTGCCATCCACCCTTCGTAAAAACACGGGCGCACGGTGGATGCTTCCCGGCTGTTGGACGTACATTTTTTTTTCAAAATTTTCTATACTTTTTTTTTGGAAAAAAATAAAACCCCCAGTGGTGATTAAATCCCAATAAAAGAAAGCTCTGTGTCCCCAAAAATGGTATAAAATAAATTTCTGTACAGCGTTGCATGACGGAATAAACTTCAGTCAAAGTACCGCAGCGCTGAATACTGAAAAATGGCCTGGCCAGGAAGGGGGTGTAACACCCCGGTCAGTAAGTGGTTAATATGTACAGTCTTGAGAAGAAAGGAAAGCGGGACATAATTGAATTCATTAAATACATTACAAGTTTGAAGAAGGTTCGGGAGGGCAGCATTCTCAATATAAAACTAAGATAACAAACATTGGAACATGACCTCAGACTAGCAGGAAGAAAATTCATAACTAACCTTAAAGTATTATTTTCACCTAAAGAAAAGTTTAAGAAGAACTCCAGGAAATGTAAAAATTAACACTTAAAGTGGGGCTACCCCTGCACTGCAAGGGGTAGCTGCTTGTTTTGGTCTACTTACTCACCTGATCCTCAGTCCTGCAGCAGTGAGCACTGACCTCTCTCCCCCTCCCCTCTGGGAGTGGAATGTCCCTCAGCATCCTTATGTCTAATGCAGATGCATTAGACATGATGGCTTCACTGGTCCTGGAGCCCAAGAGAGAACAGACTATGGGGATCGGGGAATCTGAATGAAAGGTTCATGTTACATTGGTGGGTGGGGTGGCTTGTTGCTGGTGGTACCTCTGGCTCCGGCTCTGTCCAGCATCCTTGCCCAGCTCAGTTAGGGGGGACATCAGCCAGAGCATCCCGCTCAGCTCAGCTCCCGGCAGCCCATGATGTCAGTGAGCTGGGTGGGAAGCTGGACAGAGCGTCACAGGTTGCACGTGACCCAATTAAATGCAGCCACAGGCAACCGCCTCAGGCGGCCTCATTATAGGGACAATCCTGCTGGTCCTAAGGGAAGATACTGCAATAGGTCTTATACTTCAAACAAAACCTAGTTCTATTAAGGATGTTAAAGCTGAACCCTAGCCTTACCTTAAGCCTTACACAGTTGAATGGTCTCCTCTCCTGTACTTACAGCAGGCACGTGCGGTGAGTGGAGGCAGAGCCTCACCTAGTATTATGGAGGAAAAAGCTGCCAGCTACAAGTCTGAAGCGCATAGCTTTTTCTCCATTCAGATCAGCTTGTTACAGGTTACAGAGCAGGGAAAGCCTCCCCGCTGTGTAACCTGTCATGGACGGAGTGCTGTCTTTTAATTACAGGCAGCGCTGCATCCGGCTTTTGACAGGTAGTTAGGTTACACAGCAGCGGGCTTCCCCACTGCTTGTGTAACCTAACCTAGTGAGGCAAGAACTGTCACAGCCTCTACTCTGTGTTAGAGGCGTGAGCTCTGTGGATGGCTTGGACTAATGGCAAAGCGCCATTGGTCCAAGCTGTTCAATGAAATAAAACAAAAAGTGAGGACATCCATCTCGATGCCTCACCAGTGACGAGCAAATGAGGGACAAGGAGGCTCCTCCCTGTCTCCGCCCCACACAGCTTGGTTACAGAGCTGGGGGCGGGACTTCAGTGGGGTGGAACTTTGTCAGGATGGAAGCGGAGCTTTGGTGGGCTGGGGGATTCCTCCACCAGCACAGAAGGCACGGCACGTCACTGAATTACAGTAATATGGCTGACTATTGACTGCACACTGTGAGCTTTAGGTAGTGTGCATTAAAAGCTGTAGGAAGTCAAATAAAGCTTGTCCATTTCCTGGCTGTAGGATTTCCAGCATCATATTACTCTTTCCTCCCCAGGCTCACTGTCCCTGGCCTGCTTCTTTCATTAACTGGTTTTCAATCGTTTTTTTGCTTAAAAATAAAAATTTTATGAGAGGGAAGAAAAGAATCAGCAAAGGCAAAATATAAGCAGCTGAAACTTCGGCTTTATTGAGCTGAGGGAGGTAAATCACTGAACAGCTAAAGATATCATTCTTTCCTCGAGAACCTCTCAGGCCTTGTTCACACCAAGCACGGAGCAGGTGCAGAGCAGAGCAGTTGCAGATCGGATCAACACTGCGTCCAATGTATTCCAAAGGTATTTTTAGCTCCAGTTCACATTGCAGCGTTCAGTTCCAGAGCAGGTAAAAGTGCATGCTAACGCCTGGAACGCACTGAAAGCCCATTTTAAACTAAAAAAATAAATATATACATATATTTTTTACCAAAAACGGCCCGGAACGCTTCAAAAACGCGGCAAAAATGCTGCAGAACCCACTGCACTGCGTGTGCAGAAACTCATGCAGATCTGCTCTGCATTTGGTGTGAACTAGGCCTCAAAGGTGAACTCACTTAATAAGGAATATCACACATAAAAACAGCTGGTTATACAGAACGTATGTACTTATACCTGCAGCTAATTTGGTATTTGCTTATTTCACTTTACTGCTGGATAGCGCAATCTTTTTGAGAAGAAACAAAGAAGAAAGCGCCAGGAGCCACTTATGATCCAAGCTAACTCTGATGCCAAACTTAAACCTCGAAGGTCCCGAAAGCCTGAGGAACAGGCGGTACTGGTGGAGTCTTGCACTGTTTCCAGCATCTACATGGGTATGCCATTCAGATCATACACTAACCAACTTCCCAGTACATACATATATCTACATTTATCAATAAAATAAACATTATTCAAAAACAATTGCTTTCAAGGTTATTTGATAGGGCTATGCAATAGGCTACAGTGATGTACAAAGGTGTTTACCATAGTAAGATCAGCTAGGATCCTACAGGGGTATACACTGAGTGGCCAGTTTATTATGACCATCTGACGTTTGTAGGCAAATTAGCTATAATTAGCTATAATTTCACGCTGAAGTTGCTAGAGGGCCAGACCCTTATAAATAGGGAAGCAGGTTGTTTACCACGACAGTAGAAGTGATTTTTTTCAGAAGATATGGGTAAACAACGCGATTTAACAGCCTTTGAAGGTGGGATGATTGTTGGCGCGAGCCATGGAACGAGTATCAGCAAAACAGCAGAATTCGTTAAATGTTCAAGAGGGGCTCATTGTTAAAGTGTTTATAGACTGGACTGTCAGCCGGAAATCTGGGTCTGAATGTGCGAATTGTGGCCGTCAGCGACTAGTCAATGTTAGGGCAGAACGGAGAGTGGCAAGACTGGTACAAGACAACAGAAGGGCAAAGGTGCAGTGTCAGATTCCTCGCATCACCTTTCAACATCTGGTGGAGTCACGAGGCGGCCCAACGAAGTACTGATGGGGTGGTCATAATAATCTGGCCACTCAGTGTATATCTTATTAACAGCGATGGGTGGGGAGACATCTTCTACATCTCCAAACAATGGATAATAATAAACCTTGTATATAGCAACAAGGTAGTGCCTGGCCTCTAGTGAATACAAATTACATATTATATCACGCCAATATGTTAACTGCTCCTCTTCCAAATCTACTTCTTAGAGTATACTTTATCTAAAAAAACAAGAAAGTAGAGGGCACATATAAATGTACATTACTGGTGGTTCTTACTGCTTACCTAAATAGGTGGCTGGGTCATGAGTATTTCTAAACCAGAGCAAATAACATTCATATGGAGTAAACCCCTCAAAGTATATCCAATGATCTCTCAGACCTGTGATTTTATAGAGAGAATAACACCTCTATGGGGAATTTTGAACTCTAGACGTCATCGACTATCTTTAGTATGCAGGTCAGGTCGGGGTACTATGGGTAGTACATCTCCAAGCGAGCTTCTTTACTGCTGGGACCTGCTATATGTGTGTTACCAGCACATTACACATTATTATTGCTGTTTATTGAATAAGCATGATAGTTCTACACATCACCTTTTTAAAACAATATGTTGCCTCACAAAGTAGTAAATTTGATTATATTACAATGAGATCTGTTAACAGTTTCCATATCTGCCTATGATTAGAAAATCCATTATTTCCTGTCAGTTTGAAGAGAAGGAATATGTTTGTGTCCATTTTTAGATATAAAAAAACGAAAAAATTAAGGCATTTATGTTAATATAACTCTCTGATTCTAAAATCCAAATTTTCCAGGTGTATCCAATCCTGCCATATCAGATGGAGCTCCTGCCAGCCCCCGCCTCAGTTCAGCTATCTGCTCGGACAGCTTCTCACGGACCACCAAGACTGATGTTGAACTAGAGAAGAAGGAGCCAGACCTCTATGGAGGTAAATTGTGGAACATTATTTTGCCATGAATAGTAAACCTGAGTTTGAGATTCGACCCTGATTAAAGTCCATTCACAGTAGGAGGTTATCACATGTTTCTCTGCTGATCTACTTGTATCTAAATTGGACCTCAACTCAAAAAATAAAGATTTGTTATCTTGTAGGGAATATCTAGAAATGTTAATTGTGCCTAAGCAGTGCACTGAAAGATTGACCTTTTCTTTTGTCTTGATTTCCTCCTGAAATATAATAATATATATAGTGACTTCCTGTGCCTCGGCAGTTCTGTGCCTTAAGCCTCATAACTGTATATTAAGGGGTCTATTCACTAAACTGCCGAAGGATCTAGCCGTAGCTTCGGCTGATCCTTCGGTTAGCTTCGACCCCAGGACCCCTTCTGTTCAGTAGAACCGAAGGGCTGCTGTACGGGCTAATTACTATAGCCCGTACAGCTCCCGTAGTTGGCCGAGCGGCTCAGTCGAGCCGAAGGCACATGCCTCGGCTCGACTGAGCCGAGGTGAAAACCGAAGCTGGCCGGCCATTGGCCGTCCGACAGCCTGCTTCTGACAGCTGGGCAGAGCCAGCCGTCATCTCACGGCCGGCCCCGGCCACTTGCAGAGAGATCAGTGTCCCTGGTTACCTGGTAACTAGGGTCGCTGATCTGTCTTTACTCTTCCGGATGCTCTGGAAGTCTAATACGGCTCCCGGCCGCCCAGGAGAGAAACACTTTCTCCCAGAAAGGTTTACTCTGCTCGATCGAGCAGAGTAAACCTTTCCTTGCAATCTGTTTTTTTTTCTGACATAGGGCCGCTCTCAGTCAGAAAAAACAAAAAGCCAGTATAGGAATACATAGCTAGATTCCTATTGGCTATTTCACTTTGCAATAGCCAATAGCAAACTAGATATTGCACCCGCCCACTGCTGCTGTCAATCAGCAGAGGGGGACCTGCAGTTCTCCATCAGGTCCCCTTCTGGTGATTGACAGCAGCAGAGGGCGGGTGCAAAAGCTAGTTTGCTATTGGCTATTGCAAAGGGAAATAGCCAACAGGAATCTAGCTATGCATTCCTATGGTGTTTTCTTTTTTTTTTATCCTGACGGCAGCATAACCGCGCGGCCAATAGAAAACAGTTGGGCCGAGCTAGCTGTCACTGCTAGCTCCGCCCAATCGTTTTCTATTTTATTAACTGTTTTTCTATTCTGCTCAGTACCACAGAGGTACCGGGCAGAATAGCCGACCCGAATGCCGCTCAGCAGCATTCCCCTATTCACTCACTGCTGTTCGGCATCTATGAGAATAGGCTGAACAGCAGCGAGTAGCCTGCCGGAGGTTCGGCTCAGCCGATCCAGATGTTGGATCAGCTGAGTCGAACTCCTTCTGCACTTCTGAGCATGTTTGGCCGACCGGAAGCCAGCCACATCAAGCCGATGTACGGCTGATTTTAGTTGGTGTTCGGCTCACTTCACTTCGGGTCGGTTATTCACTCGGCTGCATACGGCAGCTTTGTGAATAGACCCCTAAGTCTTCAGTGACAGATCATGTAAGATGATCATAGAGTTAGATTTGGAGATGTCACTTCTGTGCGGCTCCTAGCTGGAGAGGAAGCTGTATTTAACCATCAGCAGTGCAAGGAACTTCCTGCTTTTGTTCATTCATTCTGTGGATCTGTGATTTCTGAACCCAGGTTTGTAGATAATTTTTTTTCCCCTGGGGGTACTTCAGGGGATTTAGAGGCATCCTTGGGCACCCAGGTGAGAATAATAAGGTGGTGAACTGTGGAAGTGACTTTACACTTGAGCCTTCAATCCAGAGTGCAGGGGTCAGGAGTATGCATTGCACAGAGTGCAGGTGTTAGTAGTATGCAATGTACATAGTGCAGGGGACCGAAGTATATGCATACCTCCTTATGCATAGCCCAGCAGTACCACCTGTGCACACACATAGTATACATATACATAAACATGCACACTGTTTACATATACATACATGCATACACACACAATCAACTACCCCTCTGGTGACATAGCTGGCTGTCTCTCTGGTGGTCATGTGGCTGGCTGTCCCTTTGGTGGGGACATAGCTGGCTGTTCCTTCAAATGCTCCTGCTGGCAGAAAAGCGTGGGCTTGGTGCCTAGAAGGAGTCTGTGGCCTATGCCCTTTTTAAAGCCCCTCCTCATGTCTGGCTGCCCAGAAGCATAATGTCACACAGCCACAGACAACAGAGAAACATGGGTGGCAGTGGCATTGGGACCTGGGGCAACAGGCAAGAGAGGTAATGTATGTGTCCCGGGTGCCTGGCCTGACACCCATGCCACTTATGCTCCACTCTGAACCTCTCCTGCTGCTTTTTTAATATTCTCCCACCAGTCATTAGATCACCAGTCATCAGGGGGCAGCTCTGATATGAGGAATCAAAGCACTGTCTTTAACAAGATGGCTGCCCCCACAGACACACAGTGAAGGAGGCATGGTAAGTCAGTAATGGGGATAGATCAGCTGTAGGGAGCATATAGCCCAGGGCTATCCAGTAGGTGGAACCTTCTCTTGCAGCCTGTGAGGAAAGGGCCCGGTAGTTGTGGCCTTACATTCTGCAGGACTAAGCTGTCAATATTCTCTGGATCATCATCCTCATCGGGTGTTTTTACTTATAATTGGTAATATCCAGTTATATCGTGTGCATTTGGGAATGCATCCAGCATTTTTTTTAAATAATTAAAGGAGAACTATGAGATGAGTGATTTCCACTCACCTCATAGTTCTAGCCGACCTGTGACAATGAGACTGTCACAGGTCGGCTCAGTAGATCGGGAGGTGAGCGAACACATACCGGGTTCGCTCACCTCTCGATCCTATCACGGCTCTCTGCCGTGACAGGGGGAGGGGCTGGTTTCCCCTTTTCCCGCTCCGATCTGCTAGCGCTGACTGGCGGAACGGACGGGGGAGGGGAGGGGGCGGGTACAGTTGGCTCTGCCTCTAGATAGGCAGAGTCAGCTGTCACGCAGCTAGGCGGATCTCGACGTCCATGTCGGGATCCGCTCTGGCTGTGTAGTCTCAGTATACCGCGAGCTGTAGCTCGCGGTATACTGAGCTTAGGGTAACGGGAGGATGCTAGTGTGTGTCCTCCCGTTACCCTAAGGAGAACTATGGGGAAAAACACTGACCCCATAGTTCTCCTTTAACTGATCTGGCTAGAACTAGTTCCTGAACTATTCCACAGCTCTTACAATGAAGAAGCCTTTCCATACGCAAAGGTTAAACCTTCAGATTAGGGTGACCATTCGTCCCTGATTTCCGGGGACAGTCCCCGGATTGAGACGACTGCCCATGGACAAATTATGTCCCTGGAAATGTCCACGGAAACATAACATTTATAAACAAAAAGGTACTCACGTGATCCCTGGATCCACCGACAAGCGCAGCCTCTCATCTCCCACACTGTCAGAAGCTGCATACAGCGCGTGCCAGTTTAAATATACAGTGGGTGCTGTATGCAGCTTCTGAGAAGATACACTATTAGCGTAGCGGGGAAGCCGACTGCGCATTTTGCCTAGCTCCCACTATACTAATAGCGCAGCCTGTCAGAAGCTGTATACAGTGCGCACGGGTTTAAATAGTAACCGCCACACGCTGTATGCAGCTTCTGACAGTGTGGGAGACGGGAGGCTGTGCTAGTCGGTGGATCTAGGGATCAGGTGAGTATAAAGAAAAAAAAATTACTCCAAGGCAAAGAGACGAGAACAGCTTTTCATGGGCCGCTCAACATGCTCTAAATCTGTTTGATTTTAACAAGCAACTCAATGAGAGCGAGCATAAAACAGCCTTCCCAAAGTCTGCCTTAAAGGGGACCTGTGCCAGATACTAAGGATGCACCGATACTGGTGCTTCCGCTGGCATAGAGCCGGCTTCCTGGGCAATCTGATTGCCCGAGAAGCTGGCTCCATGTTGTCTGGCCGGCTTGATTGTGCTTGGCCCGAGAAACCGACTTCCCAGCCAAATCAGCATTGAACCGGCTACCCGGCCAATCAGGAAGCCGGACGGTGAGTAATTTCCCGCCTCCCAGCTTCCTGATTGTCCAGGAAGCCAGCTTGATGCTGAGTGGCTGCAAAGCTGGCTTCCCAGCCAATAAGTATCGAGCCAGCTGTTCAGCCGGCTCAATGCTGATTGGTCGGGAAGCCGGCTTCCCTGCCAATCAGTAAGGAGCTGGATGTTCAACTGGCTTGATGCTGATTGGCCGGGAAGCCAGCTTCTTGGACAATCAGCATGGAGCCGGCTTCCTGGACAATCAGGAAGCCGGGAGGCGGGTCATTACTCACTGCCCAGCTTCCTGATCGCACGGGAAGCTGGCTCCATGTTCCCCTATGGCACTGCAAGTCAGAGCAAATCTTCCTCTGACTGGAAGTTCCGGTATCGAGGAAGGTATCGGAGCATTTGGGCAAGTACGAGTACTCGCCCAAATACTCAGTATCAGCACCAATACCAATACTAGTATCAGTGCATATCTACCAAATACACTGCATATATAATTTGAGGAAAATATGCTAATAAAATAGTTTTTTTACCATTTGCCAATAAAAAAAAATGTCCCCGGATTTCACTTTAAAAATCTGGTCACCTTACTCCAGATGCAAAATGTGCCCCCTTGTCCTTTGCAATCATCTCGAAGTAAATAACTTTGCACTAAATTCACTATATGGACCATTTATGTATTTATACATGGTGAGCATGTCCCCCCTTAATCGCCTCTTCTCCAGAGAGAACAAATCCAGGTCAGTTAATCTTCCCTCATAGCTGAGCTCTTCCATCCCTCTTATGAGTTTAGTCGCCCTTCGATGCACTTTCTCCAGTTCCACAACATCCTTTTTGTGACCTGGTGCCCAAAACTGAACTGCATATTCCATTTGAGGTCTTACTAATGCTTTGTACAGGGGCAGGATGATATCTCTATCTCTGGAGTCTAGACCTCTTTTAATACAAGAAAGTATTTTGCTTGCTTTAGAAACT